TCCCCACACAGGCCCCAGCTTTGATTCTCTCTGATACAACCAAAGAAACAGTATCTTTTTTAGATGAGATAAGCTTGATTTACCGACTAAGGAAAAAAAGATAGAATTTGGGATTTATATTATGCATACGCTTAGGTTTCAAAAGGCATTCTCGTATTCTCTATACTATTATATTTTATTAATTATTGATATAATCAATTTTTTTAAAGAGAATAACATATTCTTAAATTTTATTCAAATTATTGTAAGATAAAGCTATAAGTAAGAAGACAAAATGATTCATTTTTATAAATACATTCTTTACATACAGTTTTTCCAAGTTTCACAATGAGTTTTTCAGCATTTATGTGATCCATAAAGTTCGGATGAGATTTTCTTTTGCGATAATCTTCTTCAGTAAAAGGAGCCTCAGGATTTTCCTATGAAGAAAAAAAATGTGACTGTTATACATTTCTTAAAACAGAACAATTTTTAAAGGCTTAGATGGTTAAAGTAAGTTCTTTAAAAGTATTTTTAAAATCTGTTCTAGCTTGGTTTTCTTTTGAAATTCTTAAAGTTTCTGAATCTGATGCTTGAGGTTCAACATTTTGAAAACATCATTAGTTCAATTTCAATTTTCACATATTTCACAGAATAATCTGAGTTGAAAGGGACCTACAAGGATCATCAAGTCCAATTCTTAAGTGAGTGACCCATATGGGGATCAAACCCACAACCTGGGTGTTTTCACAGTAGAAGATTTTTAATTTTTTTGTATTTAAAAAAACATTAATTTTTATTATATATAGCATTACATAAGGTTGAAAAACTCTATTTCTGTAACACTGAATTTGAGAATTGCAATAGCATACTCTAAAGTGCCTAGCATGATTCCTGACAATACTTAACATATATAAAGATGTGTCTATTTATCTGTCTATACACTGTTTAAAATACTCATTTTATTAAATATATAGCATATATGGGATTTTTTTTAATAACTGAAGGACAGTGCATACTGTGGTTAGCATAGCAGCCCAAGCAGCCCCTTACATCTTTCTGTACCATTGTAGCCCAATACCTAAACTTCTCTGTCAGTGGAATACATTTAACAATTTTGGCAGTAAGTGATGATTCAGGGTGAAAGAATCCTAAAAACACCCCTCACTTGTCAACACTAACTTTATTAGCTATCATTGAAGTACATACCTGAAATAGATTAATTGATTTTGATGAATATTTTCCATTAAATGGTAATATTTGGTTTAAAAAAGTTTAATGTTTTCATATTACTTACAGGGTCAGAGGGTTTTGAATTTGCCCAGGTCATTATTGTTGAGATGAGGATGAACAACTTTGGTCTTGCAAAATTCTCTATTTCCTTATGTAAGGCTGTTATGTGAAAGCAAGAACTTAATTTATTTTAAACTGCATTATTCAAACTGTATTTTTTCATTTATATAAAGGTCCTGTATAGACATTCATATCTGAATGGTCTATGTGATATGTATTTTTAAGCAAATGCTCTTTATTTAAGTTAATATAAAATTAAGATAATAAATAAGGAATAATAAAAAATAGAGAAATAATGGAAATAAAGAATCAAATTATTGGGAACATAATCTTCACAGAGCTACATATTATGGGGAAAAAATCCAAACAATCCAAACTAGGAAATGATTTATCTTTATTGACTGCTGAGATACTGAAAGGAAATAAAAGTGTACGTTTTTCATGATAGAAAAAAAGAAGAGCTACTGAATGCAAGCAAAGTCTCCTTATTTTAATATCAAACAAAATAATTGTTATGTAAATGATTCTTTTTTCCAAATACACTACATATAGCTATCATATAAAGAAGAATATTGCACTGTCACCATAAAGGGATTCCAGGTGCCTATTAGAATTTGGATGTAACAATCAGTAGAAAGTTTCCAAAAGACTGATAGCAGTAGTTCTTTATTGCACTTTTAAGTCAAAATATACTCAAAATCATTATATAAAATATTCCAACATTCTTTTAATATCACAAGAGCAAATTTTCTACCCACCTCCCAATGCAAATAGATGAGACGATGGTTGACAGTTTTTTAGGGAAATAACTGCCTACACAGATGTGTCATTTAAAGAGTTGGACCATACCAGGACAGCTTCTCTCCTTTCTAAACATGAGAGGACATTCCATGGTTCCTTGCTATTTAATCAAACAATTCATGCAGCATTTCTCCATCAAGGAACTCAGTTTTATATTATAGTGAACTATAAATCCCTCATAATTTCATTACATTTCTGGCAAATTTTGATGGCTGTACAGCAATCAAATTTCTATTCAGCTGATAGCTATACTAACCAGAAGCAGCCCACGTTGCTTCCTCAATTTGATCTGCATCCTCAGTGATATTATATAAAACAACGTCACATGCAAGCAAGTGATTTAAGAGTTCGTCTCCAGGAGAGACCTGAGGGAAAAATAGTTACATTCTGTCATAAAAAAAAAAAAATCCTTTTGAAGTTTAACTTTCTGGTAGAATGTTGTTTTCTAACACTACAATGTTGGAATAATTCATAAGACAGTTATCAGATGTTATCTGTCAGATACAAGGAAGCTGATGAAATGTAAATTAAATGGTGAGACTACGAATTTAGAGTACACATCAACATAGTTCAAAAATATAGACATTTAATGGTATTTTAGGATCCACATCTTTAGTGCAACTGTGAATATCAAAAAATATCCATTACTTGTACAGGTATTTTAAACACATATCAGTTGGCAGAATGAAGAAAACATAAAATTGTTAATTTCCTTGCAAAATAGCATCCTGTAATTTTTGTTAAGTGAAGATTGCTGGGCTTGCTCAAGTAATACAGGCAAACACTTTGGGCAAAAGCAGTGGTTAAAATTAAATACTGCCAGCCATAATTTCCTGATTGAACAGCTCAGCTGTATAGACATTTGAATCAAAACTTTCAAATGTTTTAAGAGATACTTCAATAAGAATAATAATAATTTATAATAAGCAGTTTGAAACAGAGACAATTCTAATCAAGCAATAAGCAACCATGTTCTCAAAAGTAAGCCTCCTTGAGTTAACTAAACTCTGGACATACACATCTTCATACTAAGACGTACGTTTTCAGCACAATTAGCTGCTAGTGAAAGCCATAATTTCAGTGAACAGTTAAGGGAGACACCTTGATTCCAGCACCACTACCTTTAAAATGGTGATAAAAGACACAGAGAAGATGAGAAATACACTTTGAGGGAAAAAGAAAGCAGACCTATGAATAATCAAGAGAGATGATGTCCTGTCCATAACTTTTTTAAAAAATCTATTTTGAGTCTGAGTTCCTTCTTTTTATTATTTGCTATATCAGACCTAGAAGAGAGGAAAATGGAGAGTGTGCAGCAAGCAGAAGGAATAATAGACATATACAGCTTCCAGCAGGAACAAAGGACCATTTCATTGGTGCAGGTCATTTTACATGACTTGCAATATTTCTAATGTTGTCTAATGGCAATCTGAAATAAAACTCCTACTTACTGCATATGTTTCCTGTGCAAAATGTGGTTTTGTACTCCCTGGTTTAGAAAGAGTACCCACTATCTCATAGACTTCCTCTGGACTACTAGGAACCTCAACAGCTTCCTCCTCTTCTTCATCTTCCTCCTCTTCCTCCTCTTCCTTTGCAAGCGATGCCCCAACAACACAGTTGGACAAATACTGCAAATACATGACACACGATTTGTATGCAAATATCTATCGAGCCCTACACAGCTTCTCGCGATCTTGAGAAGACACCAGCACTGTCTGTCTAGCCCTGACTCTACTGTTGGTAAAGCGGTTCAGGACGTAGCTTCCCTTTGAGCAGGAAAACGCTAGGGACTACTCAGCCTCGGCTGCAATGTTTTGTCTTCACTTGTGTCCTACGCCTCAATGCCGAAGGTACTGGCGAGTCCCTGGATGCCTCTGCTCCGCACCCGGCTCCTCTCAGGCAGGGGCTCCCTCAGAGGGTTTTTAGTTATCTTTAATTATCTCCCCCAACAGTGACCAGCTGCTGCCTGAGCTCTCCCGACCGGCTCTGCCCACACCTCCTACTCTTGACGCCTATTTTTAATCCTCATTATCTTAACCCCTTCTTGCCCCGGTCCCTCTCCTCAGCAGCTATTTTGGGTGACCCAGCTGCCCGCCCGGTCGAGCTCCTCGGGGACCAGTCGCGGCTCCCTGCCGCGCTCCCGGCCGAGGGCGGGCGGGAGGGCAGTGGACTCCTCAGGCGGCAAGAAGCCGCGGTCGGGAGCAGCGGCGGGCAGGCCTCGCGGTCACCTCGCCGATGGTGCGGCCGCAGTAGGAGTCGAGGTGGTTGAGGAAGACGCGGCGGCCCCGCGGCGGCTCCGCCGCCATCGCCACAGGCGGCCCCGGGGACGCGGCCCGTTGCCGCGCGACCGGCGGCGGCTGCGCAGTGGCACCGACTGAGGGGTCCGGGCAGCGGAGACAACGGGCTGAGGGAAGTTCCCTCCACAGAGGCAGCGGCGCCCAAGGACAGGGACAAAAAAGCCTTTTCAGTCATCTTCAGTAACCCAGACACGGTGGAATGACATGGCTGTCCCACTTCTGGGTTAACACTGCAACGTATTTTAAGAAACAACACAAGTTTCTTCTGTTAACACCTACAAAATGCTTGTTTTGAAAGCATTATATTTATAAAAAGCACACAAAATGACAAAGCAGTCTAAAGACGTCAATCCCTCCCAGAAAAAACCTCCAAAACAAAACTTAGCAATGCAACATTTAGTTTGGCATTTTTCCACTTGGATTTCTAACTCCCTTTCAAGTCTCTCATTACAATCACCTACCTTGTTTTTTCAGGACAAAATTTCAGCAGATACAAGTTTGCAACCAACATTTTCCAAATATTTGACAACTGTTTGATATTTAAGATTTTCCTAAGGGCATGATGACTTCAGCTGTTCACTTCTCCCTTTCCAGTAGCTCCACCCCCCACAAGAAAACTACAACACACTGGTGCATTTGTTTAATTCTTTAGTCATTGAAATTGAACAAGTAAATCAGTTGCAAGGAAAAATATTCAAATATAAATTTGCTAAAGTACATTCTCCTCACAGAGGACTAACCACGTGCCACAGACCTGTGTGCAAAAAAGAGCCTATGAACAATTTTTGGAGCATGGAAGCACACCCTAGGGCAGAGGATGAGTATCAGAAGTTTCAACACAAAAAGATAATTTTCACGAAATTAAGCTCTTGAAAACAGAAGCAAAAATTACAGTTGTCTTTTCAGTCACAGTTGTACATCGCTAATCCAAAGCCATTACAAAAGTTCTACTAGGATTCTCTGATTCATATGACTAACCCATAGCAGGTAGAAATCAATATAGCTCTACTGAAGTCACTGGAATCTGTGAGAACTGATATACCCCTAAATGCAGCTCCAAAAAAGCTACTGCGTGTACTTGTCATAAAAGCATAGAAGAATAACGGCAGGATTGTTTAAATAAAGATACACAAATATGGAATAATAGTACAAAAAGTATGAATGTCACAGAACATCATTTCAACTGCACAGGCATTTCTACCCAATTGTAGTTTTTAAAAAGTCTACGATTCAGTACATACTTGAAAAGTTATAGCAGAACAATAGATTTATAAAGAGAAGTGTACCAGTTTTTAAGTAGAAAATACAAGTTATATCTTCCAGTTTGTATTAGTCTTAGCAAATTTCATACAGCCTTTGGTTTCAAACCAATACAATGCAATCATCATTACAATGCTTACTTAGTATTCATTAGGAGAGGACACTGTACAATTGAGGGAGAAAATGTGAAAATCGGGAGTACCAAAGTACCGTATTATAGAAAGTAAAGGCTGAAGCAAAAATATTCTTGGGTATATCCTGTACATCATGTTAACACACATTCAAAATAGCAAACAGGCTAAAATGCCTTCCAAGCCTTCCAAACAGATGCAATATAGCATACATGTACATATATATAGCATATATAACATCATCTTTAGGAAATGTGTAGCCCATTAATTCTGTGCTTAATCATTCGTGATTCAGAAAATACATTCATATATTAGTAGTATATCTCGTGTATTATTTGGAGCTTGCTGGTTGCCATAGACAAGGGCAGATCAATTCATGCTGAGCCTTGCTTTTAACTCAGATACTGCCACTATATAAGCAACGCTCAACTGTTAAAGAATCATCTTTCTTGTTACCAAAGCTGACAATTTTCGGATTTATGTACAGCAAATCAAGCTGAAATTCTTTGCAGAACAGTAGTTTTCCCAACTAATTTTTTCATTAATCAGGTACAGCAAGTAGTAAGCTTCTATTTTAAAAAGAAGATATGAAAATTTTCAGTAAGCACACACACAAAAAATTACTACTTGTATATATAACATTCAGTCTCTATTTTTTTTAGTTTTGAACAGTAACACCTTGAAAAGACCAAAGTTTTTGAATGTTGTTAAATGCAACTTACTTGCGCACTTACAACTAAAATTGAGAATTTTTTATGTTATTTATCAAAGTAGCTTTTAATAGTATTGTGACATACGCAAATCCACGGTAGCAAAATGTTATATAGTATACTTGTTATAACATATAGATGTTATATAATAATATACTAGTATGAATTAGACCTTAATGCAAGAAATGAAGCTTAGGATGTCTGTAAGGAAGATCTAAGTGCTTCATACCAAGAATTCTTTCTGGCACTAAAACTTCCTCATATGTGGGTAAATCATGACTGACTTTCTTTCTTCAAAGCTTCTAGTCTTTGTAGTAACGCATTTCCAAACACCTCTCGATATGCAGGGCTGAGAGAGTCCAATAAGGAGTAGACAGTTTCATGGTATGGAGTTTGCAGTCTGTCATCAGTCTGATCAAAATCATAAGCTACTACCTGCAACAAAGAAATGGGTAGTTAAATTTCTGTGGTTATGATCACCTTGCAACTAGTATCACAACATTTAACTTCGCCAGTCAGGGTAATACAGTAATGCGAGAACAAGAGATACTGGACTTAAATCGCAGTCTGTGCTTTCTACTATGGAGCTTAGTAGTAATACAGTATCTAAGACAATTTCAAATAACTTTTGTCCAAAACTCAGAATATTAGCAAAATATATCATTATGGTTTTTGAAAAGAAGTCTCATGTCCACATGTTTGCGCAAAAAATACAAATGGTGCAAAAAGGAACTGCATAGATGCTGCATTATTGACTGCTTTGGGTACCCAAGAAAACCAAAGACTGACACAACTATAATAAATTTCTGCTTCAATCTTCATCATTTTGTGTCTCAAATAAATGCCTGGTTATTCATTAATACCCCTTCTTGCTTTGTTGGAAGTAACTAGTTAAGTACCCTCTTCTAGGAGAAAACAAGTAGAATAGGCTTCGTAAAAGTATAAGAGCAACATGTATGCTTTTTCGGTGTCAGCGAAGTATTTTTCTAGGCACCTTTTGAACATGTTAATTGTTCAAAACAAAGCTTAAGAAATTATAAATAAATTAGTTTACCCTGAGTCCTGCTTCAGTGAGCTCCAGGCAGTACCTGTTCCTTTCTCTGGTTTCCACATTGATATATGCCACATCCTCTGCACAGGGAAGGGTTTTTGAGACAAACATGTTCCTGACAGCGAACAAAACATCATTCACAACAGCTTCAGCTTCAAGTCTCATATCTTTCACTTCTGTTCCTTCAAAGTCTGTATAATCAGAATCCTCTTCAAATCCTGTATTATTGGGCAACTCCATAGGATTGCAATCAGTCTCCATTCTGCATATTGGAAACATTTATTTGAGATTTATTACACCATTACACTCAATATATATTAAGGCCATAAAACACAAGATACATTTTAAGCAGACATATGAAATCTCAATGACAGCCTAGAGAATTCAAAACCAAGACGCTGAGGACAAGTGCTGAAGAAGGTTACATGAGCATATAGAAGCGATATCAGTTTCACTGAAGTTAGTTTTTCTTAGGCAAGTTAACCCGCATTCTGTTGTATAAGAGTGTTATGATTCACCAGTCATTAATTCTCCCCTTTGCTAATCCAGAATGCAGGAGGAAGACAAGTCATGCCTCAAAAAACTGAAATCAATAGCAGTAGAAAATAAAAACCTACTGCTGGTGAATTTAAGGAAGACTTTAAAAAGTCTGTGACCTAAATGGGTTATTGGTGACTAAAAAGACATTAACGGGAGCTTTTTGTTTACAGTCACTAAAGACTAATGCTCTTGGTCATCTTTTATGCACAGCTGTCGATACATTTCAGAGACGTGAGCTTCTGCTCCTTGTGAGCAAGCGGTACAAGAAGGGTCAGACCCAGCGGTTACCGCAGCGGCCTCTCGGGTACCAGTGTGGCCGTGAGGCCTCAGCGGACACCCGTAGGGAACCTGCCTAAAGCAGCAGGAAAAGAGCCCCTTGGGACGCTGTCCCGAGAGCTCTGGTAGCTGAGCCCTGCAGCTAAGAGGGAACGGGGGCTGCCAATCACCGATCCACAACACGTCAGACAGTCACTCCACGAGATCCATCACTTCCTGCCAAACCCCACCTCGGACCCACAAACAAATTCCCAAGAGGCTGAAAGCAACAGGAGAGCTGGACACTGAGCCGCGCAGCCTCCCGCGCCCACGGACCGCGCCCCCTCCGCGCCCCGGAGCGCACCCACCAGCGCCGGCGGGCGGCCGAGGCCCCGCCGCCCGACTCCGCACGGCTCTGGACGCACTCGCCGCTCCGCTCCGCCCCGCGTAGCGCAGCGCCCGCTCCGCCGCTCCGCCCCGCGTAGCGCAGCGCCCGCTCCGCCGCTCCCCGGGCCGCTCCACGCACAGGCGGCCCCGGCGCCACCGCAGGCGCGACTCCCCCAGCCCCGCCACCCCCTCCGCGGCTGCTTCCGCCCCCGCCTCCTCCGCTCCGACGCCACTTCCCGCACGTCACGGAGCCGCTGGCGGCGGGGGGAGCCGGGAGGCAGGAGACAAACAGCCCCGATCCGCCCGGCCGCCCTCGCCGGCGGCGCAGAGCTGACACGGAGGGCGCTGCCCGTCCGGCCGCCGGACCGCGGCCCCTTCCCCACTCCGCGCAGCGCGGCTGCAGCGGCCCCTCCGCGCCCGCGGCCGCCGAAAAGATGGCGGCGGTGTCCGAGTGAGGATGGAGCCGCCTGTCAGCGTCTCTTCGCCCTGAGGGCGGGCAGTGCCGCCCCGCCGGGCCGTGAGGGGCGGCAGGGGCGCCGCCCGGCAGCGGAACCCCCGCGGTAGCCCGCGCCGAGGGGCGAGGCCGGGCCCGGCGGCTCCCGCTCGCCTCCCTCGCACCTCTGCTCTCCACCCGGCCCCGGCCCCGTCCCGCCGCCCGGCCCCGCGGCCCCCGGCGCGCCGCCGCCATGCCGTGGCCTTTCTCGGAGTCCATCAAGAAGAGAGCCTGCAGGTACCTGCTGCAGAGGTACCTGGGCCACTTCTTGCAGGAGAAGCTTAGCTTGGAACAGCTCAGCCTGGATCTCTACCAGGGCACCGGCTCCTTGACGCAGGTCCCTCTGGATAAGTGGGTAAGAGATGCCGGCGCTTCACCACCTCGGCTTCTGCTGCATCTGAGGGACCAGCTGATTCCCTGCCCCCGGCTGCCACCCACTTTATTTTCAATACCCAGCCTCCTTTATGTAAAAAGTTACAGCCGTAATTAGCATTTAATCCAGGGAACTCTTCGCTGATATGCTAGCGTTTAGAAAAATTAAAATCTGGGCATTTGTTACAGATATGTTTTTCTAGCTGTGCTTTGATTGCGTAATTTTTAATATGAGAAAGGAAACAAAAACTAAAAGAAGGCAGTATTTGCTGGTATTTCAGGGAGAAAGAGTTAGTGTAGCCAAAACTACTAGAATTCAGTGATGTACTTACTGAGGAGCATGTTTGCTGGCTACTAGAGATGGTAAAAACATAAAGTAATCCCTGTGGCATCTGTGCTTTTTCTTCATCTTGGGGACATCATGTTTCTTAATGATCGTGTTATGCTGAGCTTAGTCCATGTAGATCTCTAAAACTTGTCCCCTAGTCTTGCAATAGTCAAAGTACTTGTTGACAGATGGAAAGCTGGTTTTAGGTGGAGTTTAGCAGGTGGGCTGTCACACTTTGAAGCAGCTGAGGCTTTTGTTTTTCAGTCCTGGCACCTATGTTTTTGTATAAGTAAGTGCCTATGCACACGTATGCACGCTTCTACCGTACTGTAGACACAGACCTTTGGATTACTGTGTTTGTAATAATTTATAAAGTTTCTTGGTTTAATTGCCAATGTTACTGAATTCTACCTGTCAGTCAAGTGTCTGTCGTGAGGAGCCCTAAGCACTGCAATGAGTCAGTCGTTGACTTCCAGGGTAGCATTGATCATGAACTAGATTCTTTGGCTTACTAAGTTTTTCCAAAATGCATTTTTACTAGACTACATACTGGTATTAGGCTGTGCTGGGTACATTTTAAAATACTTGTGAATTTATGATGTTTTCAAGTAATGCTTTTCCAGTTGTTTGTGTGAAAATATGTTGGAAAGTGGTAGGAGACAGACGTTTGCAGAAATGCTCAGTGGTACCAGTGTTTGTTGTTTGCTTGTTTGTTCATTTCTTTTTTAGCTGTGTCTGCAACTTGTTTTCTGTGTCAGGCTTACAGTAAGGCTGGTCGCTTTAATTGAATTGTTATGCCCTCTAGTGGGTATAGAGCACTCTTTGCGAGTCAAAGTGAAATGATTTAAAATGTAAATACTTTGTAACAGCAGCAGTTGCGGGCCGGTACTAAATATGCAGTTCTTTACCTATACACAGCGATTAAATGAATATACAGTAATGCTTAGGTGATCTTCCCCGTTTGTGGATCAGCATTTTTCTGTTCCACTTGTAAACAATGACATGTTTGAGGTTCCCTGCACGTGACTTTCTCATGTATGACAGATTGCAAAAACAGATGTCGCGGAAGTACTACACCTCTTTTTTCCCCCTAGTCATTGTAACCTTGTGCTCAATGAATCACCGCTATGACTGCATTTTTACATGGTATCCATTTTTGTGGATACTTCTGTTCATCTTAGCACTGTAGATACTTTAGCCAACATTGTACATGTTTATAGATTGTAGAGGTATGTAGGAATACCGGGGGCTATTAATGTAATGCCTTTGCCTTTTGGGACCTGGGCTGTTTAGAAAAATCAAAATGTAATGCATAATGTTTGTGGTCGAATTTTAATGTACATCAAATTGCAGTTTTGCTACTAGTGCTACTGTGATTTCTAGCTGGAGACTTTTTGGTCAATTATGTGGAAACGAGTCCTGTCGTGAAGGCTGTGCTTCAGTTTTAAAATTTCACTTGAAATGCTCTAATTGTTGCTTTCTAGGAACAACTGGCCTGTTTATGAAGCAATTTAGCTCAAGAATGCTTCTTTTTTTTTTTTGCTTATAGATAGTAAATTTCTGTTTTAAAATAATAAATGTACTAAAATACCCTTATTTTTATCATCACGTACATTGGCAGTTAAAAACACATCTCAGTCAGACTTATTCAAAATATGGTAGCTAGCTTAATTCCTGCTATAGCAAAGTACTTTATAAAAGTTCAAGTAATTTAAATGAATCTGTGATATTTTAAGATATAGTTTTCATTTGAAATTTTGTTTTTGCCTATTTCACGCTGTTACCACATGTATAATTCTTATGTTTAAGTTCAATTATGTTTGAACTTTTATATTTGAGTTCAAAATAAAGTTTTTATGTCACTGAATCTTAACTGATTATTTGATTCCTAAATAATTTTGTGATAGGACTGTTCAGGTTCTGTTTCTTTAAAGTTGATGTCTTTTCCTGCTGTCCTGAGTGGACTTTGGAACAGAAACTAGAAAAGCTGAACATGCAAGGCAAACAAGATTCCAAAAGCAAAGTTATTAAGCATAAGCAGAGCAACAAGTTAACATGATGGGAAACTTGCACCTGCAGACATAAGAGTGAAAAATGTAATTTTCTGAAAACTTATTTTGTTTATTTGTTTATTTTTAAATTATTCTATATAATTGGAACATTTTAAATATGATTAAAATGGAAAACAACTTTTAAAAGCAACTTTTATTTTTTCCAAAAGTTTTGATGTTGAATTTATGCATTTTCTCACATAAAATCAGCGGCCTTGTTCAACACAGGAAGGTCAAAACCACACTTTTTCTTGCCAGTTGAAGATTACGTCCTATTATTGCAACCACAGTCTTTAGTAGGGTCTTGTTTATATTGGAAAGTTGCACTCACCGAATTTGGTATGTGATTTAGATTGGTTTTGTTTCATTAAAGCAGCCTAGGTAGTTCTTGTTCCATAACTTCAGTTTTAACTACGTTTTTGAAGCAGGGCACAAACAGGGATTCACTTTTTTTTTTAACATAAATGAGAAGAATATGTTTCGTCTGTATGGATGTAATAAAACCTAGATAATGCAACAAGGGAGTCTTTTCTGTGGATTGTGGAAGATTTAAGAATCTGAAGTTACTACTTCAGAGCTGGTACACTACTAAGGGCAACTTGATTGTAGCATTTTACTATAAAGATATGATTTAGAAATGGCAAGTATGTTACACAGCAAGAGGTGATTGTTTGGTTCCATTGATCCAGTGTCACAGAGAAATCGAAAATGAATATTACACTGAAGATACATGCTATGAAATATTCCTGTCACTAGGAGTTTAGGTACTTTTTGTACTTTTACTGTCAGCCTGTTTTCAGTTTTTTCAGTACTGCCAAAGAAAGAATAGATTTACTTTAGTTAGTACTGTAGTATTTATAAGAGTAAGTTAGCAGATTTTTTTTTTAATAGTCCAAGAGTACAGATTATACAGCTACCGCAGAGCAATCTGTGTTATGCTGAAAGCTAGGTAATTAATGTGAAACAAATTGCAGTGGAATTGAAATACTTGAAAGTGACCATTTTTTGTCTTTCTGAGTATAATTCATTTTCTGATAGTCTCAAAGTGTTTTATTAGTTAGAGGCATAATTATGGAGATGATTTTAAAAAACATTTTTTTTTTGTTTTCTTCTAGTGTCTTAATGAGATCCTGGAGTCTGCAGATGCACCTCTGGAAGTCACAGATGGATTTATCCAATCAATTTCTTTATCTGTTCCATGGGGGTCGTTGCTACAGGATAACTGTGCATTAGAAGTAAAAGGATTAGAGATGGTCTTCAGGCCGAGACCAAGACTTGGTAGGCTTATTTTTACATTTTAGAAAAGGAGATTCTTTACAGTTTTTCAGAGTCAAAAGGCTACTCTTGCTTTAGTCAATCTTTGCCTTTTATAAAATGCCATTTAGTTTACATACATTAATGTTAGAGAATAATAAAAAAAAGAAACTATCAGGTGTTCATCAATTGGTTGTCAACTCAATTAGTTTTTGTTCTGTTAAATAGCTTAAGATGTTAAAATGCTCCTACTGTCATATCTTTTCCCATACTGTGTGGAAAGGAGTTTTGATTAGCTCCCGGTTTTGGGTGTTGTATGCCAAATGCTGTTAGTCAGCATTGGTAGCTGGCAGTAGGATGATACCATAGTGACCATGAAGGGGGGTTACAGAGAGGTTCTGGCTTTCTTTGGCTACTTTAGGG